TGTCATTTGCAATATCCGGCATCGCTTCAACATCATCGTTGTCGTTCGAATCGTCTTCTTCCATGGCTAAATTCAGAAGCTCCTTCATACGAGCCTCCTCTTGGCGACGCTCTACTGAGCTATCGTCCGACATGGTGAGAGAATTGCGGTATCTTTGTGTCGACTGATATTGATCTTTTCCTGTTCGATCCCAAAAGTTGTTCTTCGTATGCTTGGCGATATTTTGTGATGCGTTGTATGTCGTTTCGTTTCGCAACGAAGATTGATGTTTAGCGCGTATTATGAACAAAGCGGAACTTTTTCTCGCTTCACAGGATAACGAGGAGGGTGTAAATAACGCTATTCGCCATTTTATTCTTCTGTTTTTCCTCAACGCGCGCCAAATGCGATGGGTGCGCCAAAAATAGATTGGAAGATATACTGTATGTTAGAGGTATGGATATTTCTCATGCATTTCCATCATCGTTGCAAGAACAGTAACAATTTTGCGAACGCTGCATCGTATCTGTTACTATATACATTGATATTGCCCTGGTACACACCCCTGATGCATATATATTCATATCCACGGAATTTGGGACCACTTTGATCATGTCATCAACATCTTTTTGCGTGATAGTACAATAATACAATAGTATAGTAGTAGGCAGCATATTGACTTCATCGAGGAAGAAAAAGAGGAGATCACATCCTCGTCGATGAACGATTAACCGCATCCGTCTGACAGTGGTACTGGGGGCTTGGAATGTGCCTTTTCCGTGCTGCTGAAGAGTATAATATACCAAGGTACCATAGGTGTTGGAAATGGATGAAAGTTCACCGCATTCCAAATGTGACAAATTATTATATAAAATATAATAATACCGGTACTGTACCTGCGGTACCGTTCCGCTTCTATAGTATTTTTAAAAATATTATAATAGTTCAATTGGAACGCGACAAAATGGAACCCGAATCCCAAACATCCAACCAAGATTGCCCGCAATGAAATGCAATAACATACAAGAGATACGCATATTACAATCAACCCATCGATTACAAATCACAACACTAGCAGTATATCCTGATCCGTCGTTTCCACCCACCAAACAGCAATATTTATACTATATAGCTATACTGTATATACTAAAAGCATACCATCATCATAAGAGGAATGAACAACAGTAATAAGACTCCTACTCCTCGAGACGCCATTGATGTCGTGCATCATGGCCCACCCATCCAAATTCCACCCCAAACGACACCACCACCACCACCACCACCT